CATGCATGGAAGGGTGGAGGGACAGCGCAGGAGGGGAAGACCCTCTATGAGGTGGATTGATTCAGTGACTGGGGTAATCGGGATGAGTGTGTTGGAGACAGTGCGATTGACACAGGACAGAGTAGAATTTAGGGCTGTTGTACATAGGGTCGCTATGAATCGCAAGCGACTCTATGGCACACAGCAACAACAACAACAAAGTAATCGAGCTGCTGCTTTAGCCCCTCTCTGGCACTTGAACCCTGTCTTAGGGCTGTTTTACGTAGGGTCACTATGAGTCACAGGCGACTGTTACAGAGACTGCTGTTTCATGCTCCCAAACTCTGATGCATCCCAAGCCACTAAAGCTCTGCTTTCTTTGAGAACTCTGTGTTCAACCCTCGAGTCATATTTGCATATTTTGGAGGTTCTCCAAATTTTTAATTATTTTTTTGCATTTTTTTTTTAATATAACAGTCTTAGCAGAACTTCTTTGTTACAGACCCCTCCCCACCAGGAAGGAGATGCAAGGCACAGGAAAGCAAGGACTTGCAGCGGAGACACTGTAGCACCCAGGTCAGGGAAGCGCGGTCTCTCTGCAGAGCCAGGCAGCCCGGGGGTGGGCGGGGCGAGTGGGCGGGGCGAGGCGGGCGACGTGAGCCAACGTGACCTCGGACGCCCCACGTGACCGCACGGCGCGCCGACCCCGCCCCTCCGGCGGCGCTGCCGGGGCGCATGCGCAGCCCGTGTTAGTGATGGAGGAGAGAAGATGGCGGAAGCGGAGTGAGTGACTGGCTGGTGGCTGATGTCGCAGCCGCGGGGCGAGTGGGGCCGACGACACGTCCTTCCCGGGGCGATCTCGGAGCCCCTGCGCGGGAAGCAGGGGAAAGGGCAGCCCGATTCCTCGCGGGGCGGCGCCCGCCTGGCTCGGGGGTGTGTGTGGGGGAGGCGGAGGCATCCGTGAGGGCGCCGTGGACCCTGCAGGCGGGAGCGCCCCTTCCGCTGTCGGATCCCGGGTGGGGAGCCCCTGCGGGCACGATCGGGCCGGGGGCCCGGGTCGGGGGGCGTGGGGGGCGGCGCGCGCCGGTGGGCGCTGTCATCCCCGCTCGGGGGCCCGGCCGGGGCACCGGGCCGTCCTGATCGCGGTGGGCGGGCGCCGCCAGGCCTCCTGGACGCTGCCCACTCTCCGCCCCGGAGCCGGCCAGCCCCTCGGCGGCCTCCGTCCCTCGGCGGCCTCCCTCCCTCGGCGGCCGGAGAACCCGAGGCGCGGGGTTCCGGGCTGCCTCCCCCGGGAGGCGTGGAGAAGGGGGCCCCGCGCGGGTCCGGGAGCGGCTGGACTGCTGGGGCCTGGCCAGGCGGAAACCCTCCTGGAGCCCGATCCTTCCCCGGGGCTTGGAGCTCCCTAGAACCAGGATCTTCCCGGGGCTTGGAGCTGCAGGGTCTCTGCCTCCTGGAACCCAGATCCTTCCCCGGGGCTTGGAGCTGCAGGGTCTCTGCCTCCTGGAACCCAGATCCTTCCCCGGGGCTTGAGCCGCGGGGTCGTCTTCTCCCGGGAACTCAGATCCTTCCCCGGGGCTTGGAGCTGCGGGGTCTCCGTCTCCTGGAGCCCGATCCTTCCC